TATTGAAATTGTTATGTCTCATTGATTACAACTCTTCGAATCAGATTATTCGTTGATATGGAAAGCCTGTTATACGATACTCATTTGCCTTTCTTGTTCCTTGTCCCTCTTTGCTTCTGTCATATTGATATGTATATGGCATAATGTTATATTGTAACTGTTATTGAACTCACTAAGCGTCACCCGCTTATCCCTCTCAATGTTTAAACTATTGCAGGTGATAAGCATCTAATATAGTCATGTACTGGTAGAAGATGTAGAATAGATAATATTATAGCTTTTGTATTTAGTGTTTAATTTCCTGGGAAGTTGTATCCAGACTATGTAATTAAACTATCAATGTAAAATATTGTTTTATGAATATGCATGTAGCATGTTTTGGAGTAACAATATTGTGAAGTATGAAAGTTTGGGTCTTTCCGAAATACGAAAGTTTAGAAAGGGGTTTCTTTCATTTCCTCCCCCAATGGGGATGTGAAACACATCCTCGTCTCACACTCGCTTCCATCCTGGATATCTGAATGATTTTCGCCCACTTAGATTCAACTAGGTCCGCTCGGCATGCGAGAATTGAAGGATTCCCCAAACCTTCTCCCATCCCCATTGACAATCTGCTGACGACCGGTGCCTAACAGAGCTAGAGCACCGCGAATAACCCTTCCAAACAACATGATTCCTGAGAACTACCTAGCACTTCTCGCATCCCAATAATGCTAATAACTCTAGCTGCTCGAACTAATATCGTCCTCGTGGCACCCGCCGTGCGGTCATTTGCAATCTCTACCTCGAGCGGGAACCAAGGTTCCCGACGCATCCCGGAACTTCTGTCTGAGCGCAAGTGACACGAACGATCGGGTAGCACCCGAATCAAACAAGACATGTACCAACATACCATTGACCGAAAAGGTCCTTATACAAACATAATGCCCACATAAGCCATATGAATAATAAAGAGTAGAGAATAATAGACACGTACCAGTTACAATGTATGGCGCTGCCTGAGCCTCCTCAGTGGTCAACTGAAATGCGCGGCTCTTCAGCGCTGGAGCATCCGCCTTGGTAGGGCGGCCATCGGTAATCCTCAGAGTTGTGTGTGATGAAAAGCTGAAGGAATTATTTGGATGTGAGAGCATTTCAGCAATGGGAATACCAGAGTTGTTGGTTAGACACCATTTATTCGAGCAATAGTCTTGTCTTCTCAACTTACATGGACTGGTGTGTCACTTTATTCAGTAAAAAAAAGAAAAGTTGATTTTGGAGGATGAATATGAAATGTAGTAGTTATTGTGCTCATGTTTGTTTGTTTCTTTGTTTACATATATTATGCAAACAGGAATTGAGGAATTGAGCGTCTGACATATGATGTGAAGAAAGAAAGTAGTAGTAGTAGTAGTAAAAGTTTTTTAAGTTTGTTTTTACAGTTGTGTGGGTGCTGCTGACATGGTAATGGTAGTGTCTAGAATGATGTTGGAAATTGTTTTGATCTAAAACCAAACCCAACAAATGGTTTTCTTGTTGATGTTATGGTGATGTTTAGGTGTTGTTTACCTTTACCCTTTGTAAATGCCTAACCTTGGTTTGGACACAACTCAAGAATGTAGTAGTCAAAATTTCCAAGTATGTTAATGATCTATTTACTAATGTTTCCACCATGATTAAAGGCGATCTTCAGGTTTCATTACAATTGTTAGCAATTGCAATTGATTATGTTCTTTTGATTGTTTAGGTTTTCATTAATCATATGATTAAAGGCGATGTTCAGATTCATTGGCTATGATCTCTAAAATTGCATATATTGTCATGTGATTCAGTTTATTATGTTTTTTGTTAATTAGAACTGGTAGGAGGCCTAATTTCTTAATATTGATTTCTATTAACAATGTGGCAATTTGTTAATATGTATTTTGATTATTGAAATCATTTTATGAGAAATTTGATTCAGGTTTCATCAACATTAGGACAAAAGCTTGTGACGTGTTGCAGAGAGAAGATGGCCTAAATGAGATTGTATAGGTATGTTGGTGGTTTTATTATATTATATATGTTTTATCTGATGAGAATTATATATGTATATGAATATTTGATGGTGGTAGTTTGGTGTTTGTAGCTGGTGGTTAAATAACATGTAATTCACATATGAATTACATGTGATTCACATGTAAATCACAAGTGAATCACATGTAAATCACAAGTGAATCACATATGAATTATATGTGATTCACATGTAAATCACAAGTGAATCACATATGAATAATATGTGATTCACATGTAAATATCATGTAATTTACATATGAATTATATGTGATTCACATGTAAATCACAAGTGAATTACATGTGAATTTATATGTGAATTACATGTAATTCACATATGAATTACATGTGATTTACATGTAAATCACATGTAATTCACATACAGTTCACATATGAATTACATGTAATTCACATATATTTCACTTGTAATTCACATGTAAATCACAAATGTATTACATATGAAAAAATTTATTCACATGTAAATCAAATGTAATTCAAATGTAAATCATGAGTAAATCACATGTAATTCAGATATGAATCACATGTAATTCATATATAAATCACATGAATGTTTGTGAGTGTTTTTGAATTGATCAATTTTTTTTTAATTTTCTTATAGATTTGGAAGAAATTGTGGTGAATATTGAAGAGGTGAAAATGATAAATTGAAGAAAATATGGAAAATATTGATGTGAAGATACGAAAACGCTTTAAAATTTTGTAGCATTTTTTTGTTTTTTATATTTTATTTTGTATCGAATAAAATACTCATTCCTATTGTGTATATGAAATATGAATATATTTATTTGTACCTAAAATGTGAATGTGCAAATTGGAAGATTTGTTTTTTTTTTTTTTTTTTTTTTTTTTTTTTTGCAAATGAATATAATTTGTGTTAGTAAATTTGATGTAATATGGATGCATAAATATATGTTTTTTACCTAATAGAATGAGTAAAATATTCATTAATAAATGGATGTTTTTTTTACTTAAGATGATGATAACACAATGTATATTACCAGAACTTGCATAATTTACCAAAAGTTGTTAAACATAGTTATTATAGTGTTTAGAAAATAAAGGGATACTAACAATTTTGCCCAAATAGCCCATATACTTAATTAAATCCTAACATTCTACTGGATAGAAAGAGGTTTGTTTTTAGACATTCCTATTCATTTTTTTCTATTACATTTTTTTTAACATGTTCTTAGTGATCCTTTCAGAAGTTTTTCTAGTTCTGATCATTTTAGAAGTTTTTTTATAAATTTTGCCCAAATAGCCCATATAATTAATTAAATCTGCAATACACAGATCACAGATGTAGACCACACCAGCGGCTGCAAAAGTTTATAAACAGATTGCAAATCAATATCTATTGGTTGCTGTTTTATTTATGTAAAAATTTTACTGTAACCACCCTTTAAACCAGTAACCATGCTATGTGCTTTGCTTGCTCCTATATTTGATGTGTTTAACTGAGTTATAATTGTCTTGTCATAATGATCCAACTTTCTTTTTGACTTTGACATGTGCACTGTGTTGTTTGTGTAGAGCTCATGGTTGTGTTTTTCAACAAATGTATTAATGAAAAACCGATCAGTATTTTTTATAAATTTGAAGCATATCTTTGCTTCGCAAGACATCATTTGGCTTGGATGTTTTCTTTTTTGTCTGCCTTCTGCTCCATTCAAAGTGTCAGCATTTTTCTTATCTGCTTCACCAGCCCTACTACATATCACATGCTTGTATTGTAAAATACCATCAATCGTTTTAGTTGATGCAAGTCTGCAATCAAATCCTGCTTTCTTTGCATATTTTTGGCCACAAAACTTTAAGGAATTGACAACTTTGGCCCCTTTTCTAGAATCTTGCTAATTCCAACCCTTTTCTAAAAACTTGCTAATTACACGAATGGTCCCTATGGTTTGGGGTAATCTGCGCGCTTGGTCCCTAACTTGTTTTTGTTACGTGCTTGGTTCCCATTGTTTGTTTTTGTTACGTGCTTGGTCCCCGTCTTACCGAAAAAGAATGTTATTTAAAAATGGAAAAATGGCGGGTATATAAGTTAAGGTGAGAGGGTGAGGTTAGGGGTGTGTTTATTTAAATAAATTAAAAAATCAAGGGCAAAAATAGTTTTTTTTAAGTAAGACAGGGACCAAGCGCGTAACAAAAACAAACAGTAGGGACCTTCCGAGTTAAAAAAACAAGTTAGGGATCAAACGTACAAATTACCCTAAACCATAGGGACCATTAGTGTAATTTACTCTAATTCTTTAGTCATTTTGACAGTTTTGGTCCTTACAGTCAAAACTTTTACGTTTTTTCATTTTGACATTTTTGGTCATTGGAATCAAAATTTTTACATTTTTTAGGAATCTTTTAATATTCAAAGTTTGGCCACAAAACTTTAAGGAATTTACAACTTTAGTCCCTTTTCTAAAACTTGCTAATTCCAACCCCTTTAATTATTTAGTCATTTTGACACTTTTGGTACTTACAGAGTTACAGTCAAAACTGTTACGTTTTTTTTATAAAAAACACAAAAAACGGCCCGGGGCGAAGCCCGAGTTTTATCTGCTAGTTTGATGTAAAGAAAATAAAATAAATAAATATTTATTTTTGTGATTATTCTGAAAGTCTTGTCAAATACCCACCAAAACGCATATAAATGTATTATTCAATTCAAAAACCTTACAGCAATTTCGAGAAATTGGATTAAAATCTAGATTTACTAACAATCGAAGAAGTTGAAAGACATGCTAGACCGTGACACCCAAATAAAAGAAAAAGAAATCAATGAAAGTAAAAGAAATTGATATTCTCGAGTTTTATTAAAAGAACAAAATGAAAAAAATTGAAGGATCGATTTTGAAGGATTTAGAGAGAGAAAACAAAATATTTAATTTTCCTTTTATTTCCTTCCAACTCGGAACACAAAATTTCCTTCCAACTCGGAACACAAAAGACTAATTTGTTTTCCTTTTCTTTATCTTCTTTTCTCTCCTTACTTTCTTTGCAAAAGATCTAGAACTAGGCAGAAAGTAAAACGGACAGTCGTGGTTGTGATGCAGTCGACCCAGCATCGGCCATCTTGGTGACACAAACGGAATCACCAAACGCCATGAAAGATCTTTGCCAACGCCATTCAGTTTAAAAGCAACATCCAACCTTCTATTTTGGACATTATATGACACAATCCACCCAAGCTCCATGCATCTCAAATACACAACATTTAGATTCAACGGATGAAACGATATCAGAAGAAACTTCCCTTCCAACAACCAATTACTCAATCCCGGATCACTAGACTGAAGATCGCTACGCCTCACCTTAAACTCACACCACCATTCTCCTTTCTCATAATCCTTCATTTTCCACATGGTGAGAAAATACAACTTGGTGGGATCATCAGCCACCTCGAAATAATGAATGGTTCCTTGGGAAACATCACATAATCTATAAACCCCATCGTGCTTATGCTCACTTTCGAGATCTCTGTCATTTGGGAGTGGAATAAGGCGAACAGATTTGGGATCTTTGTCAGGATCAAAAGCAACCATGCCATGATTATGAATCAACCAATGGAAAGCCCCGTAACAATGAATCGGGCTACCACCGCGTTTTAGAAATCGAATGGGCACAATGCAAGGTAACTTGTAGCTAATCCATTCGCGTGTTTCGGATGAATACATATCTCTACATTGAAATAATTTGATGGATCGGAAAGAATATTGACCCTGACAACTGTATAACCAGTAAGCATGTGATCTTGATTAACCCTAGTAATAAACCCTTCACCCAAGAAAATTCCGGGTCCGGATCCGGTTTTAGGTAAGGTGGTCCATTGTCGAGTGAGTGGATCACAGACGTAGTAAACAAATGGTGTCGTCGACAGCAAACAACACAGAATCAAACCATTACTCATAGCTAAAACCTTAAAATCATTAAATCGTTGTCGGTCTTTGGAGTTAGACAGAAAAACAACAGAGAATGCTGAAGAATTGTAGATTTCAGGACGAATACGATTAAGAAGATCCTTGAAGTTCGATACGAAAATGTATCGATACAGAATTCTGAAAGGTAACGATGAAGATGATGCTGCATTTGTATCGAGAACCGAGAAATAGAATCGGCAAAAGGAAAAGGGTGAGAAATTAGGGTTTGCCAATGTTTGCATACAAGTTTAAATCTAAAAATTGATTTCACGGGTAATCTAGCGAGAATTTCGACAAGCAACGAATCAGGGAAGTTTCGAATATCATACCAAAACAATTGTTTTCTCTTTCTGGAGGTATTCGTACGTAGAAAATGTTGAACAATTGGGTCATGATCGCCGTCAACATCAACGTTGGATTGATTGTTTGAATTACTGGTATCATACTCTTCCATGAAGCACAAAGGCGTGGGTTGTAAAAGAAAAAGCGGCTGAATTCACAATAAGGTAGGGTTTAATGGGGTTTTAACGGTTTAGGGGAGAATGACTTGAGTCTTGAGTTACTTAATACGCAAATTTAGCATTCAACATTGAAAAATAATTTTTCAAAGATAATATTTAAAACAAACATATTTATTTATTTATAAAAAGGTAATCAATTTATTTTTTATATAAAGGTTTAGCATATTATATTATTCACTTTGCTATTGTTATCTGAATATATTGGTGAGCAAAAATCGAACAGAAACAACAAAAACTGAAAAACTTTACAAAAGCCAATGCAGAAAAACTAAAGCCAAAATGAAAAACGATGGTGCAGTTCTTATTTTTGCAAAAAACGATCATTAATGGTGCGGTGCAGTTTTATCTATTATGTCAAACCGCATCGAAGTTTATTATGCCCTTCATCCTTTCAAATTTTTTATATGTCCTTTATGGTATATTGATTTTACTTAAAAATCATTAAATTAAATTATGCATATGGTAAAATAATTGGTTATGTCACAAGTTATATCTAAATTTTATTTATGGTAGGATTAGCAAACACATACTAGTTATCAATATCATATTCTCCTACATAATTTATGGTAGTATTAGCACACTGGTTACCAATATCCCTCCGGTTTCTTCTTCCAGGCTTTGGATTTTTCTAATCTCTATACATACGATCTTACATCGCTGTGGGATGAAACTCAAGCCCATCTCAACTCTTATAAAATACAATACATTCCTCCGTTTTAATTCTAAATAATGAGGCTTCCTACATGATTGGTCGTATGAAAATCATGTCTACCTCACATTTCTATACAAGTTTCTTATACATTTAAGAGGTAGCTTAGTTCCTACCTAAATGTTGGTTAGTTGGTGACTCAATGGCTAAGTTTAATATTTCCGGGTTTAAAAGTGATGAACCCGAACCGAATCATGAAAAAATCAAAAATCAAGAAATCAAACACATCATTTTGGGTTGGGTTTCGGTTCTAATTTTTTGGAAACTAATAATTCAGTTTTGGGTTTGGTTAACCGACCCATGTTTATTCCTATATAATTGGAATGAATCAAGCTAGAATCCCAATTCATATCCATGAATCCAAGCTTGCAAATCCATCAAAATGTAAAATTAAATGATTAGAGTGGAAAAGAAGAGAAATCACATCATAACGGCTCGAGATTCTCTAATTTGCTTCAACAATTCCTCTCACTTACCATCAAACGATATAGGGCAACAAAGAGCACTAATTCAAATCCCACAAATCAAATTTTAAATGTTGCTCATTAAAATGTGTTGGACATATAGTTGACCGATACACTTACGTCTTTTGTGTTGTGGATAGTTAAAACAAATAACAATTTAATAATGGTACATGTTTTTGCGGTTTTTGCAGTTTTATGCGGTTCAACAACCGAACCTCATTCAAAAACCAAATCCAAGCCACATGCAAAACCGAACTATGTTGTTTTTATAAAGGGAAAAACCAAATTTCCGTTTTAGTGCGGTTGTAGTAAAAAAAACGCATAAAATCGCATCATGCTCACCCTATGACCAAACATATCATGTTTTTCTCCAATTTTATATTTTTGGTCTATATTTAAATTTTGTTATGAATTTTGTTCGCATTAAATTTTAAGCTTATAACTGAATTTAAGAATAAAACTTTTCAAATTCTCTTTAAATTGTCAACAAACTTTTTAAAATGATAGCCAACTCATGTTTTCACAATATTTACATGATATCTCATATTCAACATGTTACTCTTCTTTTTAAATTTACACTTTTAGCCTATTTTAAATTTTAGTTAAATTTATAAAAATATTTTTCTCAACGTTTTTTTAGAATTTTTTACATGTTTATTTAAGATTTTTTCTTAATTACGAATTCATATGTGGTTTATGTATGAATTATGGAATACTCTAAATTTATTGTCAGGGTATTCTTTTGTCTTGGAAGTGCAATTTCAAGTTGGGAGAAAACAATCATAAAGAATTTCGTTATATGATCCTGAGATAGATAAAATCGAAGCTGGATACATTTCTTGCCTGAAGAAAACTATGACACCAACATTATTTGATTGATTTGTAGATTAGATTACTGATATAAGTTAGGGACAAGCCACTTATGAGAACATCTTATTAAGGATTGCCCCATATCATGAGGAGAACCTAAAACAACCACTCATAAGAATTGAATATGTACAAAAATATTAAGTATTGAATGTTTACAAACTGAAAGTTATATTACTTTATTAAGTCATTTTTTTCGGATTAACTTGGAGTAGCTGATTATAACTTATAAGGACCAAATATATACACAAGAGAAAAAAAAAACAAATTGAATGGTTAAATACGACCAAAAAAACTCAAATACGTACAAAATAAAAAATATATTACTCTGTTAAATTATTTTTCATAAATGAAGTAGACTTCAAAACCTTGTTAACGTGGGCACCCATCAACTACACAAACAAAATTGCAACTTTTTGGTTTCGAGATTTATTATTATATATATATTAAAGTTATGAAGAAAAGGAATAGTAAACTTATCATTTTTTGGCAGTATTGGTCCCTGTATTATTATTGGGCTTCAAAGTTAGGAATAATAAATTTGGATGTTTTTTGGCAACTTTGCTCCTCATTCTTTAACCATTTTGACACTTTTGATCCTTGCAACCAATATTTTTACACTTTTTTAGGAACCTTTTAATATTTAAAGTTTGGCCACAAAACTTTAACGGTTTGACAACTTTGATCCCTTTTCTAAAAAGTTGCAAATTCCTACCCCTTTAATTCTTTAGTCATTTTGACACTTCTGGTCCTTGCAGTCAAAACTTTTACATTTTTTCATAAGAAATGGATGTTTTTTGGCAACTTTGCTCCTAATTATTTAACCATTTTGACACTTTTGGTCCTTACAATCAATATTTTTACACTTTTTAGGAACCTTTTAATCTTTAAAGTTTGGCCACAAAACTTTAACGGTTTGACAACTTTGATCCCTTTTCTAAAAAGTTGCTAATTCCTACCCCTTTAATTCTTTAGCCATTTTGACACTTCTGGTCATTGCAGTCAAAACTTTTACATTTTTTCATAAAAACATGAAAAAAACGGTCCGGGGCAAAGTCCGGGCTTTTCATCCTTACACTTTCTACGTCTGTCATATTTATCGATTCGCAAACAACATTGAAAGCTTCTGGCCCCCGCGAAGCGGGGGTAACCTTTCTATTTGTTGTCAAAACAATGATTTTGATATTATACCCAACCTTTTTAAAAATTTATTTTTTATCCGATAGATACTTTTACAATTTAAATTAATTTCAAAAAAAAAGTTATTCAAAATAAATTGTTATTTTATATAATATATTTAAAAGAATGTTCATTTTATAAAACTATTTTATGGTAAAGTATTCATTTATTAATAGAATCGGATAAACCCCAAATGGAATTTAATAGCAACTAATAAAACTGAATAACGGAATCGATAAAAGAAAAAGAAGATTAATATCCTCTCATGATTGAGTTGACGGTGGTCGCGGAGCTGGTGTGACAGATGTTGGGATGGCAGGAAGGTGATGCGGCCACCTTGGTACCAGAAAGAAACAAGATCACCATGCGTCATGACCCATGAAAGGTTTTCGTCTTATATGTAACGTCCCAAAAAAAAAATACAAAGAGATTTTTTGTTTAACAATAAGTTAACTAATTAAAAACTTTGTTTCAAAAACCATTAAATAACATTCATTTGATTAAAACCATACAATATCAGAGTTAAGTTTATAAAACCGCAGAAACGAATATCTTCAATGCATGTGTATAGTCCCGTCGAACTCTTCTCACGAACGACTTACAAAATGTTTAATCCACAACTGTAAGCATAAAGTTTGGTGAGTTCCCCAATATACCACATATTCCATCATACATACAATGCATCCAGACAAGTGTCTGGCTATAGAGTCGAACATCCAATTCTCATATCCACATAAACATACGTAACAATCATACATGAAATAACGGGTCTGCTCCAACCCTTAAGTGAATGTTATGGGCCAAATCATAGTCTTACATCTTGACATAGGCTCCCCATGGTCCTTCCCTTCAATGTCATGGACTACCCCCATGATCTTATAAGCAAGTGTCATAGGCTACCTTCATGGTCTTTCCCTGCAATGCCATGGGCTACCCCCATGGTCTTACAAGCAAGTGTCATGGGCTACTCTCATGGTCTTATAAGCAAGTGTCATAGGCTACCCTTATGGTCTTTCC